AGCAACATTTTCTGAATCCACTTAAGCTCATTCATTCGGCTGTAGCTCTTGATTTCTTCTGCTCAACGTACGAGCCATATATGGTATGCATCGTCATGTTTCGGCTTAAGAACGAAGATTATCGAAGACGATTCGGATCGGATCGGATCACTTTTCTGACCAATTCCCATACAACGCCTTAGTTTCAAAAGTCCTTGTATTAATAATTGTAGCGTGGTGTAGGACCGTTAAAGGTGGGCCGTGTTTTTACTGGCTATACCCTTGAGCACTTTATTCTTGTTAATATTGACAAAATTACTTTTCTTTAAGTAAATTGACCATTTCGTCTTCATAGACTGCAAACAGATAGATGGAAGTAATGAAATTATTTTTTCTTTTATTATTTGAGAGATTTCTTGATATTACTGTAGAGTTCTATGTCAATGTGTTCACTAGCTGCAGAAATTGTGTTAGTAAGCAACATACAAAAGTGAATTTTTCTATTGATCGCAATGCTTCGCATTAAGAATTTCTTCCGCCGGGCGCAAACTATTAATAAGGAATACTATAAGGAATATGTTATGAAAGCAATAAAATTAAGAGAAATTTGAAAGAAAAAATAAAAATTTTTCACACCGTATACACAGCGTTAAGTTCATTATGAAAAAGAAAAATAGAAAGTAAAATATCCACGCCTGGTTCTCATCAAGCTCAATATCGTAGGGGTTCTGCTTTTTTTTCTGACCAATCGTTCCAGGCATGTAACGCTCGAGGAAAGAGAAACAAAGAAGTAGGGAAGTGGCGGCCGCGCAAGCGGATGGATGTAACCCCAATCGATAAATGCTTGCACTAACTGTAGCTACGACCAAACTTACTTCTTACTTCTACCGCACTGAGAACTAAGTCCGCGAACGCTGACCTTGTGGTGGCGGTTCTTACCTACTCGGATACCCATGCATATCACGGTATTATGTCAACCATTTCACTTTATTCCAAGAAATCATAAGAAAGTCTGTTTTATTCAAGATTCATTCTTGTTGTTATTGTTTCACTTTGCGAGTTTTTACATCGCTGTTCACTTCTATGTCTCACAATGCCCAAAGGAAGAAAACAAAGAAAGCTAATCTCAATTGTATTTTTATTTGATTGCACAAGGGTCATAAGACAAAGCGGATGAAACTTCAGCTGGCAAAAATTGGGGCCTCGCCTCGATCTCGGCCTCGTCACTCGTATTCACAATGCAAAGTTTGTCGAACTCGGTTTAGTTTAGTTTTATATTTAGGCCCATTTCTTGCAAAGCACTGTATAGTAAAGTCAGATACATTTTTGAATTCTCCCCCTTTGAGCTAACAAAACAAATAACAGCAACAAAAATTTACTTAGCTATCAGATGTAGTTACATCATTTCCATTACCGCGCAGATACTAGTTGTGTTGCTTTATATTCTTTTCTTTACTTCCAATGCGTTTCATAAAAAAGATGTAATCTTAAGTAGATTACTTTTCGAAATAAAAATCATCGTGTTTTACAGACGAGGTGCAAACACTGGCGCACTTTTGCTTACCTTATGCCTTGCTTCTTAAAACATTCGCTGGCAAACATTCATTGGTAAATTTGCAGAGAATGCAATGTGACCGAACAAGCTAAGCCTCTTTCAATCTCTTTAAGCCTCCCCAACCATAAGCTTTTTTTCAATTTCGCATGGTGTAACGGTGTGTTATTATTACGGCAGCATTGTTAGTTATTTGTTATACTTTTTTCTAGTGACCATAGGTCGATACTTATCTACTCGATCAATGAGCCCACATAAGCTTTTTCCACCTCTTGTATGATTAACCGTAAGGTGGCAGCCTATTGACACATTGTTTAATCATTGTAATATTCTTCGTTCTTGAGTCTTCTCCTTTTCATATCGAGCCACCAAAAATCACTTTAAGCTTAAAACTAAGCTGCTTATCATTTGATCGAAGAACCGCAAATATTATACCTAAGGCGAGTTTATTAATTATCTACGAATTTTCTGCAGCTGGCAATATTCGTCTAATTTGCATTTTATTAAATTCCTTAATCGCGTTTAAAGAACACATATTTTTTATCTTGAACCACATTGATCGATACAGCTGCGATCTTGCAACATTTATATTAAAATAAAAATTTAAGTCATCACCATTGCTTTCTGTGGTCCTGGAGTTAGTTTAATCATATAACTAGATCGAGGACATTTACCCGAGTTAGTGTAGCATTATTTATTATCATTGAAAAGTATGCGGCAAAGCTTTCTAACTGAGCCTCAGAGCAAACTGGTGCAATTCTTTTGTACGGCAGTGTAAACGCAGATCCATTCGTTTTAATTGATGCTACAAAAGAATATAGGAATGAAGAGATTATTTATTTACATAATTATATTGAAATAAAGACGCTTTTCTCGTATTATCTATTACTTGATTACTTGCTTATGCATCCATTAATTAAGCCTAAGGAATGAAAATTAAAATATTTCGATCATTTTTTCGTCCATTTATTATTTTAAGATTTTGAAATTTATTGCAATAGTCTTCCGTAACTAATGTGAATGCATTTCTCATTGTGGCTCGTTTTGATACGGCTGAAAGGTGCATTAAGCACTCTATTCCGGTACATAAAAATTTTTATTTCAAATATTTGACACGAATCGATAACACACACCATACCAGCAGAATGTACAGGGCGTTTGCTTTCGGATGCATTAGGCATCGTTTGCTGCTTGCAAATATCAAAATGAAAATAAAAAGTTGTGAAAGCGGCTTAAAACTTTTCAGAGACATTAGTACTTGAACTGTGTTTGATAATACGTTTCGCGTTTTATCTGAATTCTTACAGAGCGAGCGAGAGAGAGGGAGAGTGGTTAGGATTCGTTGCAATCTTAACTCTTAGATAATTATTCGCGGTTTTTATACTTGGTTTATATACGTTACAGATCGAAATGAAGCGCTTAAATATTCTATCCGCAAGTAAATATATTGTTATTGCTTTTCTTATTAGGGTGCAAAAAACTCAAGTGAACTTTTACTTAATATGTATTTATAGAAATTTATTTAGTAATTTAAGCAAAGTCTTTGCGTTACTATCCTAAGCATCGGTGCAGTAGAGTTGTAAAATTTAAAAAAAAAATAAAAAAAAAATTTTTTTAAAGCTTCTTCTTGATTAGTAGGAAATGTAAATCTATTGATGTTTCTCGTCTAAGTAATAAATTACCGGTAACGTTTACTCATTTGGTGATTTCTAAAAAAATCTATACAAAGTGTTTCCTGATCATTGAAACTGTGTGCATAAGTACTTATTGAAGAACAACATGTGTATACTTCCTGCGCTTATTTATGCCTGTATTAGTCTTAGCTCGGTTTTCATAAAACAAGAACAAATTGAAGGCTTATACCCAACTAAGACTTTTTTGCTTAATGTCTACCAGCTCAGTCTCAGCAGCTGTTTTTTTATCATTTGTTTAGCAAACGCTTGCTTTATATCTCATGTTAATATTTTCTACAAAATTAGAGTGTGGGCATAGCTAACGGCAATTGAAATCCTTTGGTAAAATGCTGTAAATTGTTCTGTGGTCAATTAAAAATGGATTCGTCTTCATTCTTCGTCTATCGATGTCAATTTTTATGACCGAAAAATGTTTACTCCAATTCTTACGGTAATCAAGATGAGTAGACGACGTATATCATCACAGTATCATACGACGATGGGTATAAAAATTAAGTTTATTCGGTGTTAAAAAAAAAAAATTCTATCGCTTAATATTGTTGAGGTAATAATCTGTCTCATTATGCGTTTAAACACTTTTCCCTTAGCTGCGATAACTGTGCTTTCTTGGAAGGCTTATAAGATCGAAAATATTAATGGCAAAGCTCATGAAATCTTCTCTTTTCTCTATGCTGTTGTTGTATTCCGTTATAAAAACCATGTGCTTAAGGCTCTCATCTATTAAAAATTTTTATTAAGAGATGCTTGCGCTTACATGGCACATTATGTTTACCAAATCAATTATGGAGCGGGATAATTTCGATCTTTCCTTTCCTAACTTGCTGTACTATTTATTTCATTTTCATTGTAATATTCCACACAATTTGTGCTACAAGGGTATATTAGGTTTGGACGGACGTATGTAACAGCCCGATGCGACTTAAAATAGACCCCTCTTTTAGTGTACCGATCGATTCGGAATTATCTTTAGAATCATTATCTGAAACGATCTGTCCCTCTACCCACGTATCCGACTGTCCGTCTGTCCATGCATTCTTGGGCTTTTAGATCGCAATTTTTGAGATGAAATCTCATGCACTGACTCAGTTTTGGCTCAAGCACAAATGCTAGAAGCAACGATTCGCATCAGACAACTTTTTCGACTATTTTTCAAATAACAACTTATTTTGAAAGGTTATTGCTTTGACAAATGTAGGTTGGTGTCGGGTATTTAATGGTGGGCCGTGTCCCAGTCTAGTGTTTATACTTGTTTTTTTTTTCTTTTTGCATAATAACGATGAAAGAAGCAAGTGGCAACCTAAGCGCCATATATAAATTTTTGCGTATTTCCTATTGAGATTTCCTTTGCATGGAAATTTGTCCTTAGCACCGAATATAAAGATATTTTTAACAAATTAGTAGAATTTAATAGCCGGACATTAAGTTACAGGGCGAAATTGCTAACGACACTATTACGGCAGGCACTGATGTAATGCATGCTTTAACTGTGGCTTTGCATATTTTCACTGTTTTCAGCCGCGAAACATTCTAAGATAATAAAACCGATTGTGTTATTCTCTTCCTTTTCGTAATGTGTTAATAATTGAAATTAATGACTAATGTTGTAATTATTGTACACATTACTTAAATAAATTGCTCATTAAATTGCATCTTGATATGTTTGTACGCGCGTGTTTAATGTCCAACTTCTTGTATATAGTTTTGCGTTAGTTTGAAATATGAAATGAAATTTTAATGAACAAAAATTTTTACAAAATTTTTTAATTTAATTATAGATTATTACGTCGTGACAGCGAGGATTCGGTTCGATGCTCATACTGTTCGGTATTAAATGTCAATGAGAACGACTTAAGAATATCATTCGAGAACACCTGCACCGATTCATTGGTAACCGCATTCGATGATGAGGCTTTACTAATATGCGACCAAGGAAACGAAATGGCAAGGACAAAGGTTTATTTTATATAATTAGTGGCATAGTGAATGTGACACATCATCATTGTCGCATACATAAACACATGCATGCACGCATAAAACATCAGCATCAGCATTAGCGTCATTCATTGAATCAAATTCAGTCAACTCATAGGCGGATTGGGGAGCAAATCCAAATATAACGAATGTATAGTTTTTAGTATTAATATATATATATATATACAAAATATATATATATACCAAAAAACCCTCATTAAATAAATAAAAAAAATATAAATGTTACATCTCCATACATATGTAGAAAACATGGAAAATTTCACTTACACGCATTCATCTTATGTGCGAAAATAACGAAAAGTAAATTCATTTGTAAATAGATGTTAGTTAATATAACATCATAAACATATAAAATGCTTCGTATTGTTGTTCTTATTACTATTATTCTTGTTGTTGTTGTTGTTGCTGTTGCTGCTTTTTGTTGTTGATGTTGAATCAGCTTTCTTTGGTTGATGTTTATAGAAAGCATTTTCATCTCTAGCGATCAATTAATTAATTTAATTATATTTTTATTTTTTTTTTGTCATTTCTCTCAGGTTCACTTTGATGACGTATCGTTATACGGGACTCCGAAAGAGGAGCCAATGCCTTCCATCCCCATCGTTTCGGAAAAAGTATCAGCGAATTTCTTAAAAAGTCAATTGCAATCATGGTTTCAACCGACCGACAATCGGTTGGCTATGAAATTATTTGGCAGCCGCAAGGCATTAGTCAAAGAGAGAATACGGCAAAAAACTTCCGGACATTGGGTTATTCACCCATGCAGTTCATTCAGGTAATCGACCTAAATGAAGATCTCAATAAGCATTGCCCTTAAAATATTTTCAATTACTTTAGGTTTTATTGGGACCTTTGTATGCTTTTATTATTAGTAGCAAATCTTATTATCCTGCCAGTCGCAATATCATTCTTCAACGATGATCTGAGCACAAGATGGATTGCCTTCAACTGCCTAAGTGATACTATTTTTTTAATAGATATTGTAGTCAATTTTAGAACTGGTAAGTTGAATAAAATCGCCTGAATATTATTTAAAAAAATTCTTTTTAAATTCAAAAATATACTAAAAGTCCGATCTGAACTCGGTTCGAAGTTTGAATGAATATAACATCAAAAGAAAAAGAAGAGGAAGAGAAATAGAGAGAATAGGGAGAATGGGGATATTTGGTAAAGCGATGCGACATTGCCAGTCATAAAATAATTTATTTAGAAGCATTAGTCAAACTGCATGCAATATGCCTGGCACTCTGGAACGTCCGACCACGAGGCAGAATTTTCACTCCAGCAAGCGTTACAACGTCGTTAAAGGTGTAACGACGTGCTCTCTATAGATACATGAGGAGTCTCCCTTGCTTTGGAACAAATTAGTTCACATATTTCTGGTTTTTTTTTTTCGTTTAATGAAAGACAAACGATTGCCTTACTTAAATTTACGTGGCACCAAGTCCACCATTAAGAAAGAAATTCTACTTGTCGACTTGTGTGTTGTTTGAAATTCCCGCAACTTAGCATAAGTAAATATTTATCTATTTATTTATCCGAGTAAATAAGAATAGCGACTACGAAGTCAGCGTTCCCGCTTTCACGTGCGCGCCCGGTAGACTTTACTTTGATCGTAAGGCTTTACTTTAAGCGTAAAGGCATAACATTTGCTGATTCGGCACTTACCTCTTTCCTTACCTTTTTTCAAACGCTAACATTTGACACGGATAAGTGATCGATCATATTGAATAAAATAAAATTTGCTTGAAAGCCGTAGGTTAAAAAGGTGTAAACGGACCATTTTCGACAATAGCTAAAATCAATAAAAAAACTTAAACGTCATCTGAATTATAAGATTCGAAATGTTTCAGGGGCCTATGCAAACCGAAATCTTAACTACACGATCGCGAAGCTTTTGTTATCTTTTGAAAATCTTCATATGGCAAGAGATCAAACAAAGGAGCTATATGGTCCAAACTTATTGCACTAAATTTACACGTCAAATTTCTATTCTCCAGCACCATTCCCCGTCATTATACATATTAAGAATTACCCTATTACGTCATATGAAGGCTTATATTTTGCGAAAAACTTTCCATAAGTCCAAATATGTTGCTCTATTCTGGACCAATATCTAATCCGAATTTATTACATAATTTTCTTAGGCTTTATTCTTATGTGCAAGATTATATTTACGAAAAAAGTTTATATAGCAAATAGTTCAAGAATTGGTCCCACCGTCCATCCATTCATTTTATATCCTTTCAATGTTGACCGATCTAATGCATTAGAAAAAAGATTTCGTCCCATAAGCAAAATGCATTCAATGGATCCAAATTCATCTCTCATACCTCGAAAACTACAAACTGTAGGTTGAAGACAAAAATACTCGAAAATGGACGAAGAGGTAGATGAACCGAAATGATTAAATCGTTTAGCAAAATACCAATAAAGAGCTGATCTTAAAGTCTGCATAGGAATTGTGAACATCGGCAACAACGTAATATATACTTAGTCGAAATAGTAGAGCATACGAAAACAGGTCGAAATGGAATACGAATATGATATTTGAAGTTCCGTATTAGTGGAATTGAAAGCAAAGAAAAAGAAGGCAAATGAACTCTGATTTAAATCGCATTGTTCGCAAATATTGAGGCAATCAAATTTTAGTGTTTGCTTCTCAACAAGAATGCGAACTATATTCAGGGATGAAAAGGATAATTAATACGTTGTCTATCCAAAACTAACTGAATATCACTTGATATTGAGTGCAAATCTCGTTAATAATTAACTCAGTTTGAAAACATCTTCGCGTAGTAATGTGCTACTAAGACTTGAGAATTCAGATCGATAGTGTGTAGGGTATTAATCGATTACATAAATTCATGTTTTTTTTTTTTTTGCTCTTCTTAATTCTTGCTTAGGAATTATGCAACAAGACAACGCTGAACAGGTTATTTTGGATCCCAAGCTTATAGCTAAACACTATTTGAGAACATGGTTTTTTCTCGATTTAATTTCATCGATACCGCTGGATTATATTTTTTTAATTTTTAATCAAGTACGTCTGAATGATTAACAGATCGCATGTCCTTAATAAAGATCATGAAATTGCAGGATTTTTCCGATTCCTTTCAAATACTTCATGCAGGACGTGCGCTGCGCATTTTACGCTTAGCAAAGCTTCTATCTTTAGTTAGACTGCTACGTTTGTCTCGTCTTGTGCGCTACGTCTCACAATGGGAGGAAGTTTACGTAAGTATTAAAAAATTAATGAAAATTTTTTATATTTCTTTCTCTTTCTCTTCCTCTCTCTATCTATTTGGCTCATGATATGCTGTTGGGTTTTTTTTTTTTTTTTTTTTTTTTTTTTTTTTTGTTATATTTCGTTTATGGTTTTTACTGTCTCTCTCTCTCTCTCTCTCTCTCTGTCTAATAATAAAAAACTTTCTCTACTTCCTCTACTATTATTACTACTACTACTGCTATTACAACTACAACTTTACTAAAATTTAAAGTGATTTCTTTACTTTAGAAATATTTCAAAGGAAATTACAAAAAAAAAAAATTTTTTTTTTTTTTTTTTAAATTATTTTTTTAATAAAGATTTTGCGTTGGATGATGGCAGACAATAAATAATTCTTCTATTTATGGTTTTCGTTCTTTTTTATTTTTATTATCAAGTTTTCATTTAATAGTTTTTCACTTTTTACCGATAATGTTATATTATTATATTAATATTTATATAAAATCTCTGCCTATGTCAAGTTACAGTTATTTAGTTTATTTCTATAAACATTTTCCTTTCTCTGTAGTTTTATGGTTTTCTCCAATTAAACAGCGACACAAAATCAATCATTACTTTACAAAACATTTAAACTTTTCCGTTTTTTTCAATTAAATTTATTTTCATTACATCATTGTAATGTTTATTATTATTACTATTATATAAGGAAGAGTGACCCAAGCATTTATTATTAACCGGTCAGTGTCTTACTTCCATTTTATATAAAGATCTCACTTGCATTTGCTACTAAGGAAAATTGTACTAATTAAGGTGTTAATTAAGAATAATTAGAAAATAGAATTGAACTGAAATCACGTTGACGGTAAATTATCCAAATTCTAGCGCTCTATTTAGTTGTTTTTATTTTTTTTCTTTTTTGTTTTTTTACAATTTATTGCTTCTAATTCAATTTATTAGTTAGTTAATGAATGATTTCCTCTCAAAGATGAGATCACATTTCGTTATATGATATTTTTGTAAGGAAATGTTTTCTTCTAATGAATACTTTTCTTAACAAATATTTTACTTATCTATGCAACGAGGGTCAAGAGAGAAAGTTTATGTTAATTATTTCATTATAAAGCCGACGATAGCTTAAAATAACCTACACTACCATACAAGTATTCATGTAACGATGTTTCAAACTGAGGCGTTATATGGGAAGGGGCCAAGAAAGTGTTTTGATCCGAATCATTTTCAATTGAGTTCGGCCATGGTGTATCAAATATAGTCATCCGATCTACAGGAAGAAAACCAGATAGACAGACGGGCAAATAAACTTAAATCGAAGAGGAAAGCGGTTAAAGGCTGGGTATGCGCTAAATAAATTTGGATATTTTACTCGAATTCAAACGATTTTCTCAACGAAAGATTAAAGGATAATTATAGGCTCAAATACTTTCAAGATTACTTTAGTATTTTTCCATTAGGGGTAGCGTTTCGAAAAGGGTACAGAAATGCCACGGAGTACTTTGTTTTCGATCATATGATGATTTTTACAATGATCAGATGGTCTTAGACCTTTGGTTTAATTGTTCTTGGACTTATTTTCATTAAATCATTGAATTTTACCTTTTCTAAACCAGATTTAAAGGAATGCAAGAGGTTATGAACTTTGATGTCTTTTTATACCTTAGAATACTTTTTCTAGGAAATCAATTAGACTTAATCATTTCATGACATTGGTTTTAAAGCTATGGTTAGTCGGTCCGGAAGGAAAATTTCATTGTGGCTGTGTTTGGTTCAAATTGTGAGAAGAGTTCTTGCTCGGTACGGAGTTACATTGCAACTCCGAGTACACTGCTCAGAGAAAGGCGAAGATTTTATGTAGGCCTCCGTATAACCAGAGAGAATGTAGAATATAGGCGTCTCCATTTGGCACTCAGAGACTAATCAACCTCGAGGCGCTCACAATGCAATTCATACGTCCATATACGTGTCTCAGTTTGGCACTCGATGACTAACCAGCCTAACCAGCCTCATTGCGCTGACGGTGACATCCTTACCTCAATATATATATATAGTACCGTCTGACACTCAATGACTAACCATTCTCGAGGAGTTGTATGTGCCATCCATATGTCCATATCCGAATCACCTTCTGGTGCCCAACGAAAAATTATCTTCAGACCTTTGAGTGTGCCACAGGGCACCATGTGAAATACAGAGAAAACCAGAGACATCTGTCCGTTAAGCTACTGTAACACTTTAATTTAATCGAATATTATGCAAAAGAACGTTAATCTCCCTTTATTATTTTCTGAAGTTGTTCAAATATCCTTTTATCTCCAAGTTTCCTTCCATTACTTAAAGCAAATGTTTAATTAAAAATTTTGAATTTTCAATTATGTAATTATAATTCTTAAGATAACCGTCAGATGACGGGAAAATAGAAAACTTGCAATTGAACGTTGAGATCAGATATACAGTCGAAGCTAATATCATTTACAATATAACGTAGTTAAGAGCATTCACGGTGGCGCATACTCTCTGAAAGCACTCTTTTCTTACTACACTTTTTCAAAACTACGCCATTCTTTATGATAATATATCGATGAAAAAATCGAGAAATCTCTTAACTTTATTTGTAAATGGTATCTCCGTCCTATCTAATTCGCTCTCACACAAAGTTATAATAATGTTATCATAACCATTAATAAAATTTGATCTTAAATTTTTCTTTCATATCTTCAAACAACAACAAAACATTGATAACAAAAACAGCAACAAAAACAAACAAATTTTAATAAAAATGGAAAAAACAAAAACAGTTAACAATGCCAAGCAAATCATATGAGACACAAAACTTTAAATGATGTAATTTTTTTTGTTTTTCATTATTTCCCCATTTTATACCATTTGCTGGCATACATGCATACAAATCACATAATTTCAAAATTTAATTCTTTATTTTAATTTTTAATGTGTAAAATATTGTATTTTAATTGAAAGAAAAATAAACTTTCTATCAGCTTTTTTTCAGTGTTAAAATTTAAACAAAAACTATAAAAAATATATTTTTACATTATTATTTGATGAATAGAATATCGATATTTAATTATGTTATTAAAAAAAAAAAAATTAATACCATATAAAAATAAAAAAAAAAAAAAAAAAAAAAAAAAAAAAAAATAAGAACACATTCTGCATAACTATAACAATAATTTCATAAACATAAAATTTAGCTGATCAGGGCTTAAATGATTATATATGTGGTTCTAGATTCTGCAGAATCTACAGAAAAAAAGTGCTGATCGAAGAGGGCGAATGCACAGAAAAGACAAAGATGGCTTAACAAAAAGCAACCTAATTTTAAAGGTAACCATAATTACAAAAAAAAAAAAAAAAAAAAATTTAAACGACAAACAAAAACCAATCAAAAAAAAAAAAAGGATTTACAATCATCATCAATTATGATATGAAATAACAACAACAATTTCTTATATCTTCATTTCTTTTTTAATTTTTTCTTTTTTCTAATTTTTCATGGTTTATTAAACTTATGATCGATTGATTGACTTAATTGAATGATTAATTGTTTAATTAATTTCAAGACATTTAAAATTTATTAGTACAATAATACATGAAAATGATTTTTATCAGAAAATTAAGCAAAAAATTTCATTTCGCGACAAATTCTTTTTTAAAGCAGATGAGTTTACTATGTACACTTTTTTTAACAATTAATTGTTGTACACACTAATCATTATCTAGTAAGGTAAGGGCGACCACTTTCCATCCTTAATATTCGATCAATTTGTTTTCTTTAAGACATCGGCTATCGAGAGTGACAAAAATCAATAGCGTGAAAAGTTGCAACCGGGCCTAAATGTTTTTGGGTTTCTATTAAATCATAGTTTAGTTAATCATGTTCGTAAGTTTACTGCATTCATAATCTGTTGGCAGCAAAGAGTCGAGAATGATCGCAGAAAAATACATCTATTCCGAAACCGAGGCCTTTCCGATTACATATAACTTTCCATTCATTAGCGAAAATCACGCAATCGATTTGATCATCTTAGTCAGCTTGGGAGCGCTATAGCGTATGGGGAGCACCAAGTTTAAAAATTCACTACTCGGCACCTGCCAAGGATTTATCAAAAACGCAAACGCAAATTAAAAGAAGGCTGACCATTATCTACACTATTCAAAACATCGTAATACAATTAGGTTTCGTACTTAGGCAAAACGGTGTTTTGAAAATTGCGAATCATAGATCGAACGCAAATATACAAGATGGACAGACGGACCTCAGGTCCTTTTTTGATGCGCACAAACTGAATGTACTCTTGCAACACGATCCAACAAGTTGAATGGTGAAAGGGCTTCAATCACTCATTCTGAATCGATTTAGGAAATAATTGCAAAAATTTAGAAATTAACGTTGATCCGATTGATGTAATAGAAGATGGATCGATTTCAAATCCTTCTTCGAGGTTAGTGGTGGCATTCCCTCTTACCATCCTTATCCCTAAGCATATGTCAGAAATTTCTTATTTGTATATGTTCAAATTATCAAAATTTCAAGTTTACCTAAGTTTCGCTATAGTTTCGATTTTTTTTCCATAACTTGCCTACAACTTTATCCCTTTTTACAAAATTGTGTAAAATTTCTTCTCGACTCTTGGAAATTTTAGAAAGACTTCAAATTGTCTGAGCTAAATGATTATTTTTTGCCTGTAATTTTTATATAGAGATATAGAGAGAGGAACCAGGTGAGCAGATTAAGTTGATAAAATATATAAAATGATATGTATTTTTGTAAATGAATATAGCGCAAAACACGATCAGTGGGTTTGCATCAACAGTCAACGCACATTTTGACATTTGAGTGCGTTATGCACGAGGCAATCGTAGTCATTGCGTTCAGCACTTGTAGCTTTATTATGAATCATTAGAAAGAATAGATTTTCGGTGCGAATAACATGTATTCGAATATTTAGAAATGTTGGAACTTCAATAGCTCAATCTCCTAAAAGCTCACCGTAACGAAGAGGGATAAAATGTACAATTTTCTTACTGTTAAATGAAAAATTTTTCGATCGTAAAATTGTTATGGAGCAACGTATTTAAGCCGTGATCACGTTTAGCCTTTACAGAGAACCATAGACCGGCCCCTAACATAATAACAATGGCTAAGGAAAATCTCATGATATTCAAGAGATTTTAAAACTCGACTAACACGTTGATCAGACCGTACCTCAAAATATAATTTCAGTGATTTGCTTACGAACGGTCATCTAATAGGCAATACTTATGTTGCCTACGGTTTCTAAGTGTTGCGTACGTGATTATTGCAACATACCTCTTGGCTAACAAAAATATGCCGATTCTCGTTCGCTTTAAAGAAGGATATGTCGTAATGCATATTTATTTTCTCCTTCTTTTATTATTTCAATTTTTGACTTCATTTAAACAAAAAAAAATTTGTGTTTTTTCTATCAATTCCCCATGAAAGGTTTTTTTGGATTTGATTTCAACAAAAAATGACAAAGAAAAAATTAACAACGCACCGCTTTATTTTCTGATTTCTTCAAAGCTTTTTAAAAATCTTGCTTAAACGTATTGAACACAAAAAAACAATTAACACTTTTACGCACATTCAACGATCAGACCCGAAATCACTGCTTAAGCAGTAAAACAGCAGAAACATTGCAACAATGCTCATTAAAAAAATTATATATTTAATCACAATCAAAGGATCAAAAAATTTTAAATACACTTAAAGAAAAGTGTACTTAAATCCAGATTTATCTCCATAAATTTCAAACTGATCCTTTGCTTATAATGTTTTTTATCCTTAAAATTTGTTCTTTTTTTCGTTGGTTGCTCTCTATTTACTTTTACTTGTTCGTTAATTTTGATCTTTCGCCTTTTGTTTCACACAGCTTTTTGTTTCTGTTTTCGTTCCAAAATGCTTCGCTTTACTTCGGTTGGTTCTTTTTTTTGAAAGTGTATTACATATGTTTTCCTTAACATCTTGTAAATATTCTTATTCTTATTCCTATTATTATTATTATTATTAGGAATGTTTTTCGAATTTATAATTATATATTTAAATGGCAAGAAGAAAAATGCTATGATTTCATCACTAAAATACAAACAATAATTATTGAATTATTGCTATTTTACGATATATTTTATGGTTTCTGCAAAAATGTCTTTTCTCAGCTTTTTATTGTCTTACTTTTCCTTTTTTTGATTTCTTTCGTTTTTTTTATTTCTTCACGTGCTAATCAATTTCAATCAATGTCAAATGTTCGAATGATATATTTGAGCAAAATTATTGCTTAAGATATTAAATGTTTGCTGGGTTTACACGTTAACTGTCAATTGCATCAACGACATAATTTTAATCAATGCTGGCAAGTCAGGTACATTCAGTGCCGTGAGATATCAGCTTTTGAAAAAATTAAACATGTAATAATACCAGTAATAACAATAAAACGGGAGAATCATAAAAATTGTGTTAATTTTAACGTTTACTTCATTTATTTACTGCGAACGCGGGAACTACACTCAGATTATGTGAGGAGGAATTGTTTTTCAAGTTCTAGGTATGAGAGTCAACTCAGTTAAGCTCCGTTTTTTTTTTATTTTTTAGGTTATTCAGAAATTTTTTTTAATACTTGCGGGCATTATGTCCACGGTCGTTAGAGCAGTCCGGAATAATCGACTAATGTTCGTCTTTTCATCGAGATTCGCACAATTCCTACTCCACGGCCTCAATTTACTTAAGAGGAGGGGGTCTCCATCTACATAGGAGCGTTATCGAGAAACGGTCACTTCTCTGGCAAACAAGTTACTCCAACATCACATATTTCAGCACAATTTACGGAAAGTGGAAGACTCTGTTAAAGCACAAGCAAGCATGCAATCACTCTGCCACTGACGTCGACAAAGGTACTTCTCAGGCGTTTCCTCCACGCCTCTTGTTCTTACTTATCCGTTTGAAGTGCTTCTTAAATAGTTACTCAAAAGTTTCAATAACAGCGATAAAGTTTCATTAAATTGCCCAACTCTGTCTTCACAAAACTTGTTTTCCTTCAAATTTATTGATTTCGTTTACTATTTAGTAGCTTCTTGTTTACAAAATTTTTACACCTTCGGTTATGTTAAATACATAGAACGTTTTTTTCATAGGACAGAAATTTTGGATCGATATCTTTAGAAATGTTTTATTAAATTTCGAAGCGCAACGAATGTTTAATTTTTAATATACCAATTACGACTTACGTTTTCTGCAAAAGGCAAATGGTCGTCAAAAGCACAGGTCAAGCTTATATTTCAAAGTTTCTTTCCAAAATATTTCTCCTTTTGCTCGGCCAAGCATTGTTAATCTGATATAACTTCAAACCTAGCAAAGGAACTATCAAATGGATTTTCCTTGTATTTTTACGTAGACTCAGTGGCAGACTCTTCCAATTCGTCTTTTAATTCGAGATTATTGCCAGCTTTGATTGCAGTGTTAAGGTTAGTTAACAAAATATTAATCGGTTGTGAATACAGTGGCGGTCATTAGCTTAAAATATTCGTACAATTCTTTGCCTAATCGTTGTTGGTACGCACCGTTAAGTTGCTTGGTTCTTTTTATCTATTGCCGTTATAGAGATCGAAGCTCTACTAATACAGACATTAAATCATCATAAATAATGTTATTCAAAAGGATCAAAATCTGGAGAATGCAGCGGGAAGAGATGAGTTGATGATAGCATATACTACTGCAGTGCTGCTAAAGTTTCTTGGGCGGAGATTGCAATAGAATCACGCTGAAAAGTGACGTTACACTATTATGTTGCTAGTTTGTTTGCTTTGCATTATACGCTTTGTAGTACGACTTGTAGTTCTCTTTTCATTATCAGTTACGATATAGCAGAATTTTGCTTCGATTTGAACAGAAACTGTAATGCTCCTAGCGAAAGGCATTTTTCGCCATACATTTACAAGAAAATAATGAACACTTCTGTTAGATAGCTTCTATAAAGATGTAAGCCAGAAAATGGTTGTAGTTCGCGACGAAATGTTTCAGTAGTATTCGGTATGGTATAGTACTAATTGATCATTTAAACAGCTTTCGCAAGCAAACTCATTGATGTTTAGTACCGGACATCCAAAAAGGAGACACTTATTTTGAAATTATTCTAATGAATGAATGTCTAATTACAACATCAGTTCACAGATTGCAGGATTGTCATTACACTACATAGGTTACCGGCTGCAGGTATATATAAGGGAACTAGGAGTTGAACGGTCATTGCCAAAACTGAGATCACTTTGCACTGTCTACATCTTATTTATTTGTTTATTTATTGACACTT